TTTTATTGTAAATCTGATTCGACTGGGCGCGCTTCATAACCATATACCCTACAATAAACTCTCGACCCCAAACCTTCTGAATGTGTTGTTTTTCACACCTACGTTTCAGCATAGAGGATCGGATTCGGGCGTGTTCACGAACTTCTTCGATTGTGTCCAAATTGGCTTGTATTTGTTGAATAGATTTATCTTCATTGAATCATTGCACCATGGAAGATGGATAAATCAGCTCTATCGGAATGATTGCCTCGGTCCCGTATACCAAGCGAAAAGGTGTTTCCTTAGTGGTTGATTGCGGAGTCGTGTGATAAGACCAAAGAACACTAGGTAATTCTTCTACCCAGAACGTTTTAATCTCTCCAAGTCTATGTTTAAGGCCGTTAAGAATTATTTTATTTGCTGCTTCAACCTGTCCATTGGTTTGTGGATGTTCTACTGAGGTAAAAATCTGATGAATGTAAAGGTCTCCATAGAAAGCTTTGACTCTGCTACTGGCAAACTGTGTCCCATTATCCGAAATTTTTCTCAATACTTGTCAAAACTTCTCCAAATACCTTAACTTCAAAATTTTTCTCATCGACACTTTAAAAACCATCTAGATACAATAACATCTAGATTTTTCATCGAGACTTCAGAAAAATATTAAGATACAGTAACTTCAAAATTTTTATCGAGACTTTAGAGACATTGAGATACATTAAATTCAATTTTTTTTATCGAGACTTACTGAACAAATCGATATCAAAACTTTTGATTATCACCGATTAAGAAACAACTTATCAGATTGATTATTGGAACAAATTAATATCAAAACTTTTCATTTTTAAGTTAATGAATATAATTTATTTATCCATTGTTGAACCACCTTTCTTTTGATTGGATATAATTATTTATTTGAGTAGAATTGATTGAAATCTGTATGTTTTTAAATTCATTTTCCGTGTTTCGCACTTAAATTTATCGCTTCATACGTTTTGATTGAAAAACTGTTTGCTAGCTTAAATAAAAAGAATTCACGCTGGTTGAAAATTGGTTAAAACCAGTCTTCGGGAAAATCGAAATAAAACCCAATTTCACCAGTAACAGGTACACTCTGCTCTTCAAAGCTCCTGTAATTATTGAACCTTCCCCCTCTCTTCCAAAGCTTTCCTCGAAATACTCTCCTTTGGAACGTTGGGAATCAGTATTTAATCTTTCATTAAATGAAAGTCTATCAAACACATTATTATTTTGAAGTCTACTTCTACCTCCCCGAGGAGAAAATATCTCCTTGACCCATCACATTTGATTCCTGTTACAAGAAGAACCAACAAAGTGCTGAGTCTCTCATACTGTCATGTGGACCGTTTGTTTTCCTTTAAAAATTATAATTCTTCTATTATGTCTCCACTGTGTCTCCACTTTTTTTATTTGCTCCTCCCTTAAGGCTTTAGTAGCAAATCTATCAAATACCACACTACAGGTTTGATTCTACTACTCGAATTTGGTTGCAGGTTAGGTTCAAGAACTGAAATTTGGTTCTTGGTGAAGGTTGAATTGTCTGTAATTTGATTTAGTAAATCAAACTATTCAATATAGTCAAACTCCACTGAAATTTGGTTGAGAATTGGATGTAACCGATAATTTGAATGAACCAGTATAATTCTTAGTGTTTTTTTTCCTCTTCCATCACTATTCTGCTTAAACTTTATTTAATTCAGTTTAATTTTCCTAGTTCAATACTTAATCAAATTTCTTCATCTTTAAAATTGTTAATTTGCATATGGAAGTTCCGAAAAAATTTGTAAAGATAAATTTACCTCCTCTTGATCTCAATCTATAATTCTAACAACTTCAACGTTAATTATTAATTATAATTATATAATTAAGAGTGCAAGACTTGGTTGAGCATAACTTAACTCCATGTGTAAGTTACCAATTTAAACAAGCACGTCACTTATCATACGATTTTTGACGGGGTAAACATGACAAGATGTGCTTATATATAAAAAGAAAACTTGTACAATGAGAAGTAGTGGAGATATAACTAACACAAAAGTATACCTAAAATTGTATGCGTTGAGTCGACAGATTGAATATTATCTATCCAAAGCTATCCATATATACAAGTAAATTAATGATGCACTAACCCCTTTTACCAAATTCAAGGGTTTCACAGAAAAAAAAAAATTCAATAGATATTCATTACAGATGAGGGGATGGAGAAAGAAACCAAGACTAGAATAAGGTCATGCTGAAGGCTGCTAATTAAAGACATAAGCATTGCTGCAGGTCAAGTTTTGCTAACTTATATGATTAGTCGATAGACGAAATATCATTTTAAGAACTAAAAAAAGATTAGTACAATTATTTTTTTATAGAAAATTTGGTCTTTTCTTTAAACTTTTTTTTACGATACGATAAACTCAAACATAAATGAAAGGTCTTTCATTCCCGGGTAGAGATAATTTATTAAAACAAATGCAAAAACAGCATTTTCTTGAAATTGTATCCGAACCGAAACCACAAGACAGCAGTGTCTTTGAACAACCACCGCTGCTGCACTCTGACATGAAATCTTGCTTGATTAGCTACAGTACCACAAAAATTTCAACACTAACCTTTGAACTTTAAAAGAGAACCGACTTACAAAGAAATCAATGTAGTTGTAGTTGCTTTTATTAAAGCATCAAAGAAAACATGGTTTGCCCATTGAAAATCAATATCCCCAGTTATCATTTCTGATCTCATCATCAAACTTCTTCTTCAGCTCAGGATGCTTTTCGAAGTACTCATCTGCCGTCATGGTACTAAGCTTTTTCTGTGAAAAAAATTGATGTTGAGATTTTGTTTAAAACTTGCATAAAACGGTGAAATCTATGAGATAATTCTGTTACCTTCAACTCTTGTACTTCAATAATTTCCTTTTCCAAACGTTCAGACTCTTTCAGAGATTTCTCCTCTGCTTCTTTAAGTTCAATCAACTGCAGCCAAACAATTCAAATACAAAAAAAATTAGGAGATTTATAATGTAAGAGATTTAAACAAAATAAGAACTAATGATTCGACCAAGTTCTTACCAGGGTGTCAAATTTAGCTTTATACTGAGGAGTTACTGTGTCGACAAACTTAGGGATTTCAATGCCTGCAAATAGGCATCACAAGAAACCATTAAATGTTGAATTAATGCAAATAGGCATCACAAAAACCATTAAATGTTGAATTAATGGTATAGGTAAAATATAAAATTATAACAGGACATATTGACTATACACACACTCGCTTGTAAGGTCAAATAGTCATGAGTACATTGATCTCACAAACTCTCGTACCAGATAGACTCCCATATATATATATATATATATATAGACACACACACTACCCTTACACAGATGGTGACATGGGGAATTTGGTAAGATTTTCAATAAATAAAATCTTCTACGGAATAGGAATTCAAAACGCATGCCCACATTCCACACTAGCTAGTGATATAAGGAAACTACATGACAAGGCTTATGTGTATTTTGAATTATAGCTACAAGAATTAGAAATTGATCTGCGATCTTATACAAAAATAATACTACATCTATGTTTCAAATTCAGGTCCCTACTACACAGGTATAATTTAAATGTGAAAGCAGCAGCAAAATATTGTCACAGCTGAGTACCAAAATTTTTCTGATGCTTTTTACAAATTGGAATACAATCAATTAACAAAAATAGAAACAAAACAACTTCATAATCTCTAACTTAATTTTTGTACACTAAATCCTATGTATCATTGAATATATTGGGTTTTAAAATGCATTGGAAAGTATAATACAACCTGAGGAAGTTGGTAAACAAAACAATGTTATGAAATTGCGAAATTTGGTTCATGTAATAAGTTTATATAGAAACATTCCTTTTACATCTAAGAAATAAATAGAACAAAATGAGAGAAAGATGAAATAAAATTAAAGTAATGGGAGAAGTGAGTGGAATTTTTTTTACAATATATGCACACTTGCAAATCCAAATGCAAATCAGTGCATAACAAGGAGCACATTTGACAACCCATAATGGAAACTGAAGTGCACATATCCCAAAGGATTAAATGGAGAACTAAAATATGTTTCATTGAGGTTGAGCAAGACTCTTGAATCTTGGCTAATGTAAGAGAGTAAGTGCATGAAAGAAACTAAATTTACAAAACCTTTAATTTAATGAACATATGATCGCATCGCAGCTTAAGAATTAGTCAAGCGCGATACTGTTATCATTAAGAAATCTAAATATATACATATTAAAAGCGTTGGCCATAGGGTTCACAAACATACTCTCGTAATGTTCCTTGTACATATCCACCAGACGAGTGCCAATGCCTTTCCTGTAATAATCCCAGTCGATGGGCTCAGGTTCCTGCAGAATGTGAAAAACAACTTAGCAAGGCCTGAACATAATACCTTAACAAAACAAAAAATCAACTACAATAAGCATCTAACGAATGTATCACATAATTACTTCTAATCGCAAAGCGCTCTCGTTCAAATCATGACACACAGGAGCTTGACCAACATTCACATAACAGGAACGTTATGGTTTATAAGAATAGTCCAAAAGGCATTCTACAACACTTAGGAAGAAGAGACAGTAAATGTGTGTTTGGATTAGCTAATTAGGTTAACAAAAACGTTTAGATTGTAAAACGATAACAGAATAAAACAGAGCTACTAGGAAATTAGTTACGAGCCCTAATGTCCAATCGATCTAACCTCTAAGAATTAAAACATAGAGAAAACAGCATCCTAAATCCAGTGCATAATGTAAAGAGAGAGATCAAAGAGAGAGAGGCGACCTGGCTGAACTTGGTTTGGAGCTGGGAGTTAACCTCGTCGAAAGCACGACGGAGATTTGAGAACTCCCTGCGAGCCTCATCGGAGACGAGAAGCTTCGCCATTCCATCCCAATCGATGTTCTTTCCCACCTTGAACACCACATCGGTAACTTTCTTCACCGGTCCGCTCATTTTTTTCAATGCGATGTTCTCTCCCAAACGCGACTCCGATTCTTCTCCTCGCTACTCTCTCCCACTCTTTCACACCCTCCTCCTATCATTCATCACCTTCCTTCCACGTATGGGCCGAGTTCTATAGGGCCGGCCCATTATGTCGTCCATAAATTTGTGGGTCCTTATATTCTCACCACTTATTACTAAGTTCATTTCCTCTTTTTCAATTTTTGAAAAGACTAAATTAAGCCCGTCCTACGTATCATGTTATGACCTAATCAACCTCGTTGCAGCTTAGCTTCTCATAGTTTTTTAAAAAACTTATTTTGACAACTGTATTTTGTCAATTATCTCATCTACAACTGATTTTAATATTATAATAATAATTTTTAATTATTTTTATTTTTATTAAATCTCTTTTATAATTATTATATTAATAAAATGAGTTATTTTTGGAATTGTACGGTTGTCGATATCATGCTTTTTTTGTTGTCATTTTTTCATAGTGTATTATTTTTTTTATAACTAATTATTTTGATCAAACATTATCAAAAAAAATTTATTATTGAAACTTTCAAAATAATGTCACCACTTAATATTACATATATAGCTGCGTGTAAGGTTAACAAAAGTTAATGACTTATGAGAGAGAAAAAGAAAAAAAAAACATTGTTCATATGAAAGCAACCCATTTCATCCTAGATTATAGATGTTTCTTTCAATGTTATTAAATTAATACACGACTAATTTTTCCCACTTCATTTTTTGTGTAATGAAAATGGAAACCCGTCAAAGAGGCCGAAGCCAAAAATTCTACAGCAAGTGAATTCAACATTCTTTTGATTCCGTCCAACATGTCCATGGTTAACTATTTCCACCTTATAGAATTATATAAGAAGTTTTAATCATGTAGGAGGAATAAAAGACCAAATCACATTCACCAACACAAATTAAGGATTCATAAAAAACGTAAGAGAAATTTAAGTAATGGTGATGTGAAATACAAAATATTCCACAAACTTGGTTGAGTATAGCTTGGAATTCTCGACTCTATGCGTAAGTTACCTACTTAAACAAGTACTTACTAGTCATACATTTTTTGACGGGGTAGACAATGAAAAGTTGTGATTATATATAAAATTAAAAGACTTTCACAATGAGAAGTAGTGGAGATATAACTAACAAAAAAGGACTTAATCTTGATTTCTACATATTGAATATCATTGTCCATCAAAAGCTATTTACATATGTAAATAAATAAATTAATAATGCACTAACCCCTTATCTCAATTCAAGGGTTTCACACAGAAAAAAGTTCCATAGATATTAATTAGAGATGAGGATGGAGAAAGAAGCCAAGACTAGAATAAGGTCATGATGAAGGCTGCTATAACTAACGACATAAGCAATGTTGCAGGTCAAGTTTTGGCAACTTGAGGGGTCAATTCATCTTTTTAGTTTCTTTATACAGTTCAATATTTCCATTTTCTAACATCCATTTGACGATGGGAGTTCATGCTGCCATGCTTAGGGGGAAGCACAAGACCAAGACATATATACTCAGATCAGCATATATATATATATATATATATATATATATGTACTTGGACAAGAAAACATGTGAAACAACCATAACAAGATAATCCAGGATTACGAATAATATATACAAATTTAAAAGACAGATTGTGTAAATGATTCCTCATACGACACTAACCATAACACTTGTCGTGTCTCACAAGGGTTATCTGATATATGTATTATTCTGACTAGTCGATCCACTGAAATATGCATACACACTGTAGTTTGAATTTCTGATTTTTTTCACCATTGTTGTATGCGTCCACGTCTTTTAGTCAGTTTAGGCTGGAACGTCATGATCACTAACTGGAATAATCTTCATAAGCACATGCCAATATAAGATTCTTCAACATATAGTAATGTTTATAAAAAATTATCATCTTGATTCATTGATTGTATTTGGAAAAGTTTGCTTTGAGCGAACTTGCTGATTATACCTGGGAAATGTGTATCAAGCAAGATCTAGACACGTAACTGAAGAGTTATTGAAAAAAAATAGAAGAAAAACTATGTTGTTTTGAAAGATAAGATTTATCTTCAGGATAGGATCCCTACAAAGGTAAATTTAGCTAGGAGAAGGGTTGATATAGGTAACCCAAAATGCACATTGTGTGGGAGTGAGGACGAAACATCCAATCATCTCTTTTTTACGTGCAAGATGACCAGGGAGACCTGGGAAAAGTGCTTTAGATGGGTGGGTATAATCTTTGTTAGCCATTGTGAGGCGAAAGCAAGCCTGGAAAGCTTTGCATTAGTGGATTGGGAGCGAAGAGAAACATGTTGTGGAAAAGACTATGGATAGCAGTGGTATATGGTCTCAAAGGAATAAATGTATTGTTAAAAATGGTAAATTTGATGCAGAAGTAGGATTTAGTAAAGCGAGTGCAAATTTCATTGCTTGGTGCGCTAGAGACTGGGATGGAGCGAGCCTAGCAAGTTCCGATTGGTTCTATGAACCGGTAAGATGTATGAGACTAATTGTCATGTAGCTTCTCTTTTGTCTTTGCTGGCTAGTATATGTCTTTTCAGGTTAAAGTGTGTAATCATGCCACAATGATGAAGATTCATATAAAAAGACGGTGAGCGGGAGTTTCAAAGAGCTTCAAGGCTTTTTTTCTTAACCTTGATGTAAACTGTCTTACTGTCAACATTTTACCCGAAGCTAGTTTCCGTTAGACACCGCTGAGGTAACTAAACCTGTATATTTGAGCTTTCGTTCTTGTGACCCAGCAGAATGTGTTTTATTTCGTTCTTCTAACTTCTTTTAGTTGTAGTTGGATTGAAGTACCCTACTTCTATTAATTTTATTCTTTGTTACCGATAAAAAAAAAATCTTAGCTGTAAAGTTTTGTTGCATTAATCGGGTATGAGTATAATATATGAAGTAAAAAATATATAAAATTTTAAACACAAATTACTCACTGTTGTCTACATAAATTTCATTCACTTAAAATTATAAATATTTGGTACGCATGGATGTGTTTAACTTGTATATATATAAAAAAAAGAGAAAATAGAAAAAGATTGAAAAGAAGATGATTTTTGACGTAGTTAATAAAAGTGATCTTATTTGGACGGCACTGAGAAAGTTGTGGGTGGCGTAGGACGGGGTTGATTGCTTAAGTTGAGTGTATTTTTGAAAAGTATTAAGAAAGAGTACAACGAGGGTGCAATACCATGCATACACGGTATTGAATTAATTCTTGACTTTGAATTATATTATCTTAATTTGGAGTAAGCTGTAAAATGTTAACCGTTTTCCAGGAGGGATCATAGGAGTTGGAACAACGGTCACTCTGGTTTGATAGCTCCTGGTCAATTTAATTTTTCTGTTTATCTTAATTTAAGATTTCATTTTCATTGCAAGTTATGTAATAGCTTATTTGAATTTTTATCATTAATTATTTTTAATATTTATTTGAATGATGATTATTTAATTTACTTTTCAGATAATATAAATTAATAAAATAACAGTGAACGAGGTAAAATATATAAAATTAAAAACTAAGAAATACATATGTAAATTGTCATATATATATATATATATATATATATATATATATATATATATATATATGTATGTATAATTAAAATAAATAGTTAATGTTTATTTTTAGGGTTTGACTTTCACCTTTCAGTTTCAATTTCAATGTCACTTTGTTTGGTGGATATGTGATGAGATGGGAGTACCCTCAACTAGCACATGGTTGTCAAAACAATATATTCCTTTTTGGCGTAAAATGTAAACAATGATATGAGAATACGAGATAAAGCAAATATTCCTTTCTGCTGTAAAATTTAAACAATGAGATGAGAACGATATATTAGAGTATGCTTGGAAGATTTTTTATTTTTATTTTATTTTAAAAAATGTTTTTGTATAAGTTAATATAAACTTTTTACTTTTTTTTTTTTTGGCTTTTTATTCTCAAACGATGGATCACTGGGTTGCACGTGAGATGACAGAAGGTGAGATACAACGGTTCAGGGAGAGTTTGCAACGCGTTTTTTTGGGCAACGAGAAAAATCATGAAGGGTTGAGGATGAAAATGAAAAGATTAAAAATAACGCGGTTTTAACTTAACCGAATGATTGAAATGTTCCATCTACCAAATCATCTTTTGTGCTCTCCAAATCAAAAATACTGTTCTATTCTATATATTCTTCCGCTGTTATTATTTAATAATGTATCTCCAGAACGATAATTGTTTTTTTAATAACATTTTTTTTAAATATCATCGATTAAGCCAAAAAAAAAAAGTCATCACGGACGTTAAACAAAAAATGTGCCCTCGTTAGCTTAAATATATATCATTAACTGTTGTTGAATTATTAAATATGATTTAATATTAAGATGAATTATATATTTAAACGTAATTAAATAATTTATCCAAACAAGAAAAATAAATTTTAATTTTTTTATCTAAAAATATTAAAATAATTTAAAAGAAAAGATAAAAATATTTATTTAAATAATCAATAAAAACACGAGGATGATAATTATTTAAGAAAGTGGCACGTCATTAGTTTCTATTCTCTTAGTACGATTTATGTATATAGTAAATTTAAACCGATTATAAATTGAAATGTGACATTATGCTCTCATCTTGCACATTTGTATATATATATATATATATAATTTGGCACCATTTCATTACCTAGAAAGTGCATTTGCATTATCACATTGTTGGTTTCTTCATTAGGCATTGAAGTCTCTGAAAGTTTCTACTATATTTGCATGTTGCTTCAAGAAGAAGAACAACACCCATATCTCCATCATTCAAGCTTTCTCAGGCTACACTAACATTACAAAGGGAAGATATTTATACTTTTCAAAATCTTAAATAAGATTTACTATTGAATTAAGACAAGGTTAAAATAGTGTTTAACATTGCCGGTGCCATTACTTAGAAAAAAAATATTTTCATATTTAATTTAGTATTGCTATGTAAAATTCACTTACACTTCAAATTCAAACGAAGATGTTGACATTTATATGAAGACTTTGACACTTAAATTTATTTAAGTAAAGACGTATTTTATGCTTTGAATTTTATCTTTTTATATCATGCTTTTTATTTCATTATTATTTATAATAGTTTTTTTTTATCTTTTGGAAAGTTTGTGTTTAATATTTGAGTTTTTGTTTGGCATTATGCACCTATTATCTTGACATATTATTGGACGCCTAATTCATCAATTAATTGGAGTTTTAGACCAACGTGCTACTTGAGAGTGTTGAATCTAAAAATGTTGGCTTAAAACAAATGCTTAACATATCGTTAGACTTAGTGAGTTCTTTTATAAAATATATTACAATAAATAAATAAGTTACTAATGAGAATTTAAGTTAAGAATTTAAGTAAAAATTAGAAGAAAAAAAATGAAGATAATTTTGAAAAACAATATGGGAAATGTAGATTGGGTGTTATTAGATAGCTAGAAAAGGGACTTTCTCATTGTCCACGGTTGGTGTGACACGAAAAGCTCAAAGTTTTTTTTTTTTCAATTAAGAAAAGGAAAAAGAAAAATTAGGAGGCCCAAACAAACAGTTGCAAAGGTGTTTAAAGACTATGCTGACTCAAACTAAAACAGCTATCACTTGTATTGTACTCATTTTCTTCTTCTAATGCACTTTTCTTTCTTGAGTCATTATATTGGAGAAGACCGCCATCAATTATGCATTTTTTCTTCTTCTTCTTCTTCTTATTCTCCTTTTTTTTGTTTTTCTTTTGTTTTATTTTTGTCCATTGTCAAAGGTTTGGCTTATGAAATGACTAATGAGGTAGCAAACACGATGACTCATATCTACCATATAACTAATTAATGACTTTATTGAAAATGGATTCCCTGAGTATAATTTTCATTATCTCATCCTCCACTTGGGAGGTTGAAAACTTTAGCAGTTACTATAGAACAAATTAATCTCTCTCTAATGGAAATGTCTAAGATACATAACATTCATTAAATTCATGTCCAAAGAGGCTCCCAAGCAGTCCCAAAACTGTTGTCCTCTATGAAGCAGCTCATGTCACCGTGAGGTTGAGGCTGCAGCATGTGCTGCTCCTGAGATTGACTCATTTCCATGCAAATTAGAGCCACCAAATTGGCTTGTTGGCACTGCATGTTCACTAGCTCAGCCTGTGCTTTGGCCAACTGTGCTTGGAGCTCACTAACTTGTTTCTGAAGTTGGCATATTGCACCAGCACACCCATAAACTGGGTCTCTGATCCTAGCATTTGCCTCATACACCATGCTGCTCACAGCATCTGCTCTCTGGGACTCTGGTAGCTCCTGAAAATCAATGCAGAGTCGTTCTTGTTAGAGAAATTAAGAACAATTGGTGCTATGCTGGATCAATTATGTTCCCCCTCTGCCCAAAATTGGTTGACACAGTGGACATATTCCAAATTGGACCCCTATCTTACACAATGGTCACCAAGATTCTAAATTTTAGTTTTGTTACAAAATTTTGACACTGTGAAAAATTACAAACAAATGTAATCTTATGATATCTGAGAGAAAGACTAAAATTGATCCCAGAACCTTGTTGGTCACGATGGGGGGCACCAAAGGAAGATAGAAAAACAAAGTTAGAAAATGTTGTTTGACTTGGGCATTCTTTTCGCTAAAAGATGAAAGAGAAAGCAGTGGTTGCTAGAGTTGAAAGAAGAGGGAATTATGCATAGTTTTGATGTGTTAGGAAGTTAGAAAACAAAACCCATCATACCCATCAATTAGGTACGCCCTTGCTAGCTTTCCCTCCCACTTTTGACCAAAACCCATGATTTTGTTTCTCTGAAATTATCAGAGCCAATTTAACTAATTTTTGTTGTCTTCCAAGAAAAATGCCATGCCATGTCATGAAGTATGAACTGCTAAAAAAAAAGCTACAAAAAATAGAAAATAAAAATAAGAACAAGAATTGGTGAATGCATGCTTTTGTGTGGTACCTGCAAGAACTTGATGATGTTGCTGGCTCCAAAGACTCTATGAGCAATGGTGAACTTGAGGGGATCAGTGGGAGGGAAGTAGGGAGCCAGGACACACTTCTCCACGCACCTGCGGCGGAGGATCTTGCAGGCAGCACAAGGGCTAACCACCACAGGCGGCGGCGGAGAGGGGGGAGCAGCAGAGGGAGAGCCCTGAGAGGGTGAAGGGAAAGGTGTGGGAGAGTTTGAGGGAGGTGAAGAAGATGAAGACGGAGGAGAGTTTGAGAGCATAGTGGGATGGATTGGGATTGGTGGAGAAGATGTTGTCGTTGGTGGTGAGGTTTTGAGTTTGTACTCCATTGTGCTGTGAGACAGAGGAATGAAAACAGAGGAAACAAGATTGTTAATCTTTCAATGAGATTTTTTGGGTTTGTTTCATAGGATAAAACCCAAGGGTGAGAGTGGCTATATATACAGACCAAAGGGGAAGGGGACACATAACATGACTTCATCTACGTATTCAAGAGGCAAACATGACGAAGTATTTTCATAAAAAGCCGTAGAAAAATTACCCACTTCAAAAAAGGGGTTTCATCATGAAAACATGTGTTAACTAAAGTGAGATAAGATGTTACACTTAATTAAATAATCTTCTTAATTTGACGTCATTTTAAAATATGATTACTGTTTGGTATGAACCAATATATGACAGACAGTATGTAAAAAGGGATTTTTGCTGTTATCATTGCACGGTCAAGCACTGGTCAACGAATTTACCTCTCTCTCTCTGTCAGTTTTTGGGTGCTGCTGTGGGGGAGAGTTAGTAATTGGATCAAGCAGAAAACATATTTTTTATGTGATTTTTTAACAAAATTGTTTTCCCTCAAACACTAATATTAAAATAATATTTAACCAAGGAAGGAATAATACAGCATGCAATTAGAATGTAGTGTGTGAAACTAAGCTCTCCGTTGTTTTCTTTTGACGCGGAAACGTGAGAACAATGTTTGTAACGTGAAATTAAGAATAGTTGGGAAATTAATTAGAATATATATTTCTTTTGCTGGGTATAAGTTAAGAATGAGATAATGGTAACGAGGAGATTAAGAATACAAGAAAAATATATATTCAACAAAAAATCTAAATATACTTTTGACCAATTAACCAAAACAATTATTAGAAGTGATAGCAACATATTTGTAGACTAAAATTTAAAAAATCATCACGAAATTTGACCTTGGCAATGGTTACAAGGTTTTAATAGATGAAGAAGAAATATGTATAAGTAATGATTTATAGTTAGATGCTATGATTGTGTTTATTTGATCAATAATCACTATACCGACGTGAAACAATGACGGTAATAATTATGAGATGGTGATAATTATAATAGCAAAGCAATAGTAACTGTTATATATAGTGACAACTGAACTGTCATAGAAGGTGAAAATGAAAACTTTTCCGATGTGACGACGATGACTTGCAAAGCATATTTAATAACCATTGTAAAACGTTGACATTGTCATTCACAAATGAATGAATGAGGTGATCATTGATATATGCAGGTTCTATATAAATAACCTAAGCTTTTCCTGCAAATTAATGATCTCTTATTTCATGCAAAACGAAGCTTTTATGTTAGCCAATAAATAAGAAAATTCTTATTTTTCTTATGGAATAAGATTTCCACGACTCTATTGAATCGATTTTCCAGGCTTAACCTTATCCACTGGATAATACTAAACACGTAAGAGTTCACTTAATCATAAAAAATTCGCTAGAATATACAAAAGTTGAAATAAGTGTCAAATTAGAAACTATTATTTCTATAATTTTTTTTTTCTTCTCTTTAATTTGTCGAGTTCAAACAGTTTTCCTAACTTGCGCATGTTCCTATAATTTAATTCGTAATCTGATTTCACATGGACAATAATATAAAGTTTTGTAGACCAATATTTTTCCCTCACGATAATGGAAACCAATATTCTTAAACACTTTCCTACTTGTAAAAGAAAACGAAAGATGTGTAAGTGAAGAACCTAATCTAGATTATGGAATCTTTATTTTTACGAAAACTTCACACTATGATTCACTCCATTTCTCTTATATATATGGGTAGTTTTATTCATATTCTACACTATAAAATAGTTTATGGATAACTTTTTTTTTTCTAATTTATTCATATTATTTTTTTAATTACTTCAAGCTATTTTAGTTTGGCTTGTAATTTTTGACTGAAATTTCAGAGAATAATAATTCAAAATGAACGTTATTTTAGCTTACTTCAGCATCAGCGCGTTAATATCAGTACACGTCGATTCCACCGACACTGACAAATTTTATGGATATATTCATCTCAAAACCAGTTAATCGATCATTTGACATAAACAAATTGAAACTGCATACTCGATCTCCGAAATCATGTAATTGAAAACACTTTCCATTTAAACCGCAACATTTAGAATAAATTCAATTTCAGAAAATATCATCTTGTGATGTGAACATGACCTATGATAAGGGCTAGAGCAAGAGAAACAAAGGAAGCTCTTCAACAAGTATTGTTGGTTGACCAAATTGTGTTTTGGATTAATCAATTAATGGGCTTTAGTTTAATTTTGTTTTAAGTTGTAATAAGGGCCCAATTGAAAATTTAGTCAGCATCCTTTGGGAGACCAAGGGGTGCATAGCTGATTGACTTTTGGTTGTCACAGTTTCAGATACAATCAGTCATTAAGTAGTTTCAATTCCTAGGTTAATGGATCATTATTAGCCTTTATTTGTTTCCATTAAATAGTTTTCAATTCCTAGATTAATGAGTTATTATTAGTATTTATTTTCTTTTATTGAGTCTTTTGTAATTCTGATGGCAACGCTTCTATATCAGCTGAAACATTCTTATCAAGAAATAACAAGTGAAATTTTATTCAGAAATATTAGAGTTTATCTCTTTTATCTTAGTGAGAGTGATTCTCCTAAATTCTTGAGTGATTCAAGAACCATTGGCTGTATCAAAGGACTGTCACATCCTTTGTGTGTTGCCTCCCTTGGGAAGAGTGATTCTTTCCTTCCACCTTCTTTCAAATTCCTAAATTTCTTGCAAGGTTCTAACCCTAAAGATCCTAAATCAACCCTTGTGATTCATATCATTTGATATTCAGAGCTCCGGTTTAAGGGTTCAAACATCAAATTGATGGCAGAAAAGGAAAATTACAATCAAGAAGCAAGAATTAGTCCAATTCAAATGAGAGTATTGGTACAACATTTGGAAGGATTAATGATACGACATAACAATGAGCTCCATGAAAGATTGAACCGGTTGGAGAATAGAAATCCTGAAGACGAAGAAGAAAGGAGAAATAGGAGAATGAATGATGGAGTAACAAGACCAAGTAGGCTTGAAGGAGTCAAGCTTAATATTCCTCCGTTCAAAGGAAAAAGTGATCCAGAAGCATACTTGGAGTGGGAGATGAAAATAGAGCATGTTTTCTCATGCAACAATTATGAGGAGACCCAAAAGGTGAGGCTTGCAACAACAGAATTTTCTGACTATGCTCTTGTTTGGTGGAACAAGCTACAAAAGGAGAGAGATAGAAATGAAGAGCCAATGGTTAATACATGGACTGAGATGAAAAGGATCATGAGGAAGCGGTATGTGCCGGCTAGTTATGCAAGGGACTTGAAATTTAAACTCCAAAAACTTACTCAAGGCAACAAAGGGGTTGAGGAGTATTTCAAAGAAATGGACATGCTCATGATTCAAGCAAAAATTGAAGAAGATGAAGAGGTAACTATGGCCCGATTTATTGGTGGTTTGAATATTGATATATGTGATATTGTTGAGTTGCAGGAGTTTATTGATATGGAGGATTTACTTCATAAAGCAATTCGAGTGGAACAACAACTCAAAAGAAAAGAAGTGACTAAGAAGAGTTCTACCAACTTTGGATTTTCAAGTTGGAAGGACAAAGGCAAAAAAGATGGGACTGTTACTTCTAGTAGTTCCACACCTATTCCTACAAAGACTCATTCAAAATATGAAGAACAACCCTCTAAAAAAAGTAGAGATGTGAAGTGTTTCAAGTGTCAAGGCCTAGGACACTATGCTTATGAGTGCCCTAACACAAAAACCATGATTCTTAGAGAGGGAGAATATATAAGTGAATCTGAGGTTGAAGAGGGAGAAAAGAGTGAAGACACTGAGGAGGAGGAGGAGATTCCAAAGGGAGATTTATTGATGATTAGGCGATTACTTGATAGTCAATTGAAACCTATGAAAGAAAACCAAAGAAAAAATATTTTTCACACTAGATGTTTAATCATGACAAGGTGTGCATGATGATCATAGATGGAGGTAGTTGCACTAATGTGACTAGTGCTAGATTAGTATCAAAACTAAATTTAGCTACCAAACCACATCCTAGGCCATATAAACTTCAATGGCTTAGTAAGGATGGAGAGGTGCAAGTGAGACAACAAGTTGAAGTGGACATTTCCATTGGAAAATACAATGATAAGGTGCTTTGTGATATTATTCATATGGAAGTCAGTCATTTACTTTTGGGGAGACCATGGCAATTTGATAAAAGGGTTAATCATAACGGGTTCACCAACAAGATTTCTTTCATACATCAAGACAAGAAGATTGTGCTCAAACCTTTGAGTCCACAAGAAGTATGTGAGGATAAAAAGAAAATGAAAGAAAAACTTCTTCAAGAGAAGAGAGAGAAAGAAAGCGTTAGTGAAACACTTGAGAGGAAAAAGAGTGATCAAAAGAAGAGTGAAACACTTGAAGTGAAACAGAACTATTTAGCCATAAAAAGTTAGTATAATGTTTGTTCTACATTTAATTTGTCAGACTTGAGGACGAATCCGATTTGAGGACAAATCCTTTTCAAGAGGGAGAGAATGATGTGAACATGACCTATGATAAGGGCTAGAGCAAGGGAAACAAAGGAAGCTCTTCAACAAGTATTGTTGGTTGATCAAATTGTGTTTTGGATTAATCAATTAATGGACTTTAGTTTGATTTTGTTTTAAGTTATAATAAGGACCCAATTGAAAATTTAGTCATCAGCCTTTGGGAGACCAAGGGGTGCATAGCTGATTGACTTTTGGTTGCCACAGTTTCAGATACAATCAGTCATTAAGTAGTTTCAATTCCTAGGTTAATGGATCATTATTAGCCTTTATTTGTTTCCATTAAATAGTTTTCAATTCCTAGATTAATGAGTTATTATTAGTATTTATTTTCTTTTATTGAGTCTTTTGTAATTCTGATGGCAACGCTTCTATATCAGCTGAACCATTCTTATCAAGAAATAACAAGTGAAATTTTATTCAGAAATATTAGAGTTTATCTC